ATGCATAAAGCTGTTTTTGAAGTAAGTCAATTAGATACATGTAGAAAACACATTTTTGGGAATTGTTTTGATCTCAGTTAATTATGTACCAGTTTTGAGGAGGTACGATTGTTCCGCTTTTTTAATATTCATTGGCTATTTGTAAATGTAGTTGAATATGTAATATACAATTATGTTATCAGTTCTGGCTATCAGTAATACATTTTCATAGTTGCATAATTTCTTGAATCTCGTGTTGATTGACAAATGTTCACTGAAATCAAATGCAATTTATAGCACATCATTTGGTTATAAATATAAACGTACATATTTGCATTTCTTCTTATATTCAACACTACTGAATAGTTACGAAAATGGAAAAAATTTGTATGTTATGCACAAATTGTGCACAAATCACTAGAGGTAGCTAACCCATACCCAACCCTGTTCCTTTAGTCGAGCATGAGACTGGCATTAACTCTAGAAGAGCTACTTCAATCTACATTTAAATGTCACGTTTATTGTTCACAAAATTCTGTTTCTACTGTCATAACATAGTAACAATAATGAATAGTTTTGAATGACCTAACATGGAGACAACTTTGCTTTACTTAATGTATCCTGACATTACTAATATACAGTATATTACTGATTGTAAATATTTACTGATCAGTTAAATGAATGAATTACACATATAGCTAATGGTATATTCATTGATCTTCAAATGACATTCAACTTTTGATATATCTAGCATATCTCGTATCAAATTACTAAACTATATTATTATACAAGGTTATCAATTTGGCGTGATCACATTTAACCATTCACTCCATAATCACACAAATAGTACTATCAGAGTGTGTGTAGGTTCTCATATATATATCATTAGTATTTACCACAATAGTTTATCTCGAAATTGAGACAACAAAAATTGATTTTTCTATGTGGTTCACAATTTTTTAAACATTCTTTCGTAAAACAGCAGATAACATTAATATTTGGTTCACTGTGTTCATAAATAATACTGTACATCTTACCGAGTCAATGGTTGTCTGCTCAAAGTCATATTTCAACGTGAGCTAGGACCGATCTTGCTCTACATCCATGAAGTAGTATGCTTACTAATTCACTTCATGTCAATATTAACATACGAATGATAAAAAATGATTACAGACAGAATTTGTATGATTACCTCAAGTGCTTAAGTATAGACTTTTGTCAAAATTTTCAAAGTCTTTCTTATCTGAATCCCTGTTATAAAATGTTGTCATTGATTTTCTTGATGGAAAATTCTCTCTAGTAATAGATTGACACAATAACACTCATCTCAACTTGATGTACTTTCAGAATACCATAGGTTTACCATCGAGTATATTAAGTTGCCAACAGAATTTGTGTTTATGTGGCTATCAATAATAGAAGCTCTAGTTTTTTTTGAACTTTCATTAAAGACGTACCAAATAAGTAATAATTCTGATATACGAATACTGGTCAAGATTAGAACGAACAGTTTGCCAGGAATTGGGCGTCGAATATAGAGGTCACATATACGGCACTATTTCTCTGATCTATCTATCCTTTAATCTGCATGATATGTGGGAAGAGGGTTGTCTCGACCTATTTTAGAGTATTTAGTGCTACCGTGAGATTTATAATACATAGGTCTGATTCATGACTGGACAGCGTTGAAGGAAGAAATCTATCCCATCACTAAGCTATGATCTGATAGGTTGGAAAGCGGAGGGAGAAAACGATCGAGCTGGAAATTACCATAGTTATTCCTCATTTGACGAACCGAACTCAAAATAGGTAAATAAATAAATGACTAACGCGATCACAACTCTCGTGAGATACAATTATATCCAAACAACGGGATTAAAATATGGAAATAGAATACAAGGTGACTGAGATTACAGTAATTTTGTTATAAAAATAATATTAGAATAATTTTTACATCACATCACTACCTTTTGACGGCGAGGGTGTTGTTTACTGAATTGTTGAACACGGTGAGTCCATCTAGGGGAGTTGGAAAACCCTGATTGCAAACCAATGGTGCACATGGGTTCCAAGAACCTAAGGAAACAAATGCCGTATGAACGTATTGTTGGTGATCACCTAGCTCCTGATGTGGCCCCATAAGAAAACTACTTGCTTCGATATGGGCACTTGAGCAGTATCCCAACCCTGACAGAAGTTAAATGATTTATGTTGCTCATATCTATTTGGTGCCTCGTTTTACCAATGTTTGTGTATTTAAATAAATAAATAGAAAAACTGAGTGATATTATTTTGTGTATTTTGAATTATTCAAGACAGTATACAAATAGCATCTTTCATTGTTTGTCTCTGCTTATTCATTCTTTTGTTCCCAATACATATATAGGTGGATGAAAAAGGTGCAGTGGCGGCTGCAGCTACAGCGACACAAATGGTATACTGCACATCTCTGAGACCTCACAAACCTGTACCAGAATTTCGTGTTGATCATCCATTCTTTATTTCAATTGTTTGGAATAATTGTCTACCAATATTTCTTGGACATATTACATCACCATTGAATGACTAATAATAAGAAAAGTTGATCATTTATTAGCTTACAAGAATGATCAAATTGCCTACTATTGATTTTGTTATTCATATATGACTAGTAATGATTTTAATGAGAGAATTCATTTCACTTTTATTTCTGTGATCAGGTATTTTTTTAAAAGTTTTTTTAATGTTTTGATGATTTAAAAAATTTTTTTTTTATAATATGACTTTTATGTTCACATGGTTACTGATCAGTAACTAATAAAACTTTGTTCTGTTCTTCATATTCGTATTTTTAAAATAACACATATATTTTGGTAGGTAATAGTAAAGACCAGATCTATGGAATTACGTCATAGCCTATAAAGATCGACTAGCTATTCAAATGGTATGAAAATAACACAGGTATGTGCACCAGTGACAATTTTGAAACCACAGAACTCAAATAAGATTATACGGATTTCGATAATTTAATGAGTAGATGAAGATTGTCAGAACTTTGTGATATATTAGAGCAATGCATTTCGAACCATCTGATCAGACATATACACGTTTCCGGTCTAGTTGACCTTTTATTCTTATATATAAAAGCTCGTAACAAGTAGGTGTATGCAATCCATTTGTGATTAGATTTTTACCAATTTGTGCTTATAACTGTCTGGTATTATTTCAAGTTCACATACAGAATGTACACTGTACTAACATTCCACAAACGTTTCTAACTGCTGTCTTCAAAGTCTGCGGTTCATGTAACTTGATGAACATATGACATGTGATTTTCATAAATACAAATCTAAATATAATGTTAAGCAGATGCAATCGACCCAGCTTATCACTACTAAAATACTGAGTCGATACTTGTAAAGTGAATATGAGGTTCCAAGGACAAATGAACACTCGTTCTACGTGAGCTGTGATCAAGTAATCAATACACAAATCAAACGATTTATTGCTTCATATCTCAAGTCATGTATGGAATGCACTGACTTCTTCAAAACAAATAATCAGAATTATTATGATAATGGATTTCGGAATGGATTGAGACTGGTAACTTCTTCAATTCAAAGTGTGAAATCCCGGAACACCTATTTGGATGTTTCTTTTCTTCAAAAACAATCATCTGCTGTCATTTACGGAATGAACACTCTGATCCATGGTGTTACGAGAAGTTTCTTGATTGATGTCTCCACATCTAACCTTCATCTACCGAGTTCTCCTAATTACTGATATTCCTATTGATAATTTACACACACACAGTGTATATTGGAATTTGATTACGTGGTGTAAATCATTTCTCTTCACCTAAACACTTTTATTTAGTGTTTCACACTTTCACTACTTTGAAAATATTCAGTAGACAGTTGAATTGGTAGGAATTTCAGGTGGTATGCTGTGGCGCATTCATTTTATTTATCATCATAATTACTCTCTTTCATTCCCTGTCGCAGTTGTTCTTGGTTGTTGTGCAGCCGTTTGGTCTTTTTATAAAAGCAACGGCTCCCATATTTACTTGCTATTGATCCCGTATTTACTTGTTGATAAACGTTTTTCAGGATTAGACACAGCTATCAGCCCTCATACACAATATCGTATGTCACAGTTATTCTTTAAGTTATTATTAGAGAAAGCCCTATTTCTTTAAAACTTACAGACGCACAAAGAAACATAGATATCTCATAAGTTAAGGTTTATAACCAATTCATATATATCATTCAATAAAATCTGTTGTAACATTCTCATGATTAATTTGGATAACGGTTAATCCCTGTCAATCCCTTTTTTCCGACAAACAATGTTATCGACACATTAACAATTCGTTCATTTATTTGTATTGTAAGAATCGTTATCATAAATACTTAAACGTGTATATTTGAACGCTTGGCGCCGCCTACGTATATCGCTCTCTCACTCAAATCATGATCTCGTAAATCTAGCTCGATGTATTGTTCTCCTTCTCTCATATATATGTGATTCTATTATAAAATGAAAGTTGGCTTTGATTCGCTGTTATTTTATTTGGTATTACTATAAAGTTGCCTCCATATTCGCTCGCAATGATTCTTTAGCCTCTTTCGCATCGAATCTGCCTGATGTGGTTGTAATTCTGTGGTCCGCACAGTCACCTGATAAGTTGTAGTCGCAGCATCCTATCGCATTATCAATTCAGTTTTGTTGAGTTCCGTAATACCAGTTATCAGGCTGTAAGTTTAACGAAACTACACGCAATATAAAAAACTAACCCTCACACCAATCGCTATTTTGTGAACTTCCCTTCCACGTGTATCTCATTTGCGTAATTAAACACTTTTTTTCATTCAATAATGTATTTATCAGTAAAGATGGATCAATTCTCCCAATCCACGTAAAGCACTTCTTCATGGGTACTGCATATTTCCAGATGACATGTACCATTGCAGTTTTGAGAGTAAATAGTAAACGTCCTCATTCAAAATGTAAACAATTTTCTACTGGTTGTATTATTATTGTTCTAAACAAGATTTGGATTTATGACAGCACACTCTCCCTCCAGTTATAAAGTTAGTTGAATTGACATTAATGGTAATATTTGCAATGAACCCAGAATATAGATCGCACCATCTCGGTTCGTTCTGTAAATAGGAAGAAATTCAAAAGTCAAAATAAGTCTTAAATTGACGAATCTATTAGTTGAAATGTAACATTTGAGTCACTACTACTGCAAATTCCATAATGAATATTTAGCTGAAATGCTCAGTGATTTCGAACTAAAATGGTTTCTTGTCTTTTACAATTAACAAGTCGACTGAGTGTTGAATGATTCTTGGAAATGTTGGTGAGTTAGAAATGAGATATGAGCTGAGTAGGTGAGTGGTGTCAGAAAACTGCTTCATCTTATTTCACCACAAGGTGAATTATGTTGGATACAAAACGAAAATACGAATCATTAATATAAACAGATGACCACGTGTATCAGTCGATCACCAACTACAGCTTCATTCAATTCTGTCACTTAACTTTATCAATTGTCAACCATCCAGTCTAAATATGAGATGATCAGAGATATAAACTAGATGATATTTCTTCTGAAAATGAAGGTGAATTCACACAGAAAGATGGTTTACATCTATATTCGAAATGAATGGTATTACTGAGAGTTTAGTAAGACTTTATTGTGCATACATATTGATTGAGGATGGCAATACATCATTATTGATGTTATATGAATGAATGTCCTTGAATTTAGGTCCACCACTATGCAAATTTGGACTAATGCTAATACTATAATTCTCTCTCATATTTACATGTTTAATTAGAATGTAAAACGCATCTGAAACTTACAATTTCATATGTATAGAGATTACACTGAGGATAATATCGGCATTCATTTAAGCAGTCTGATTTCGTTTCAACCGTTTCCAACCAGTAGTCTTCTGCCAGCGATAGCTTTGGTAGTCCCAATATGCATATCCATTGTGAGTAGTTACAATGCATATTTGTATTACATTCCGGACACTCCTCACATAAGGATAACAATGTAAAGTTATGTGCCACATTTGATTGTGTATTAAAGCAATCGAGAAGACAAACTGAAATGTATGCAGTGATAATGAACGAATGTTCAATCATTTGATGTAACATGATAGGCATATGAAATGCAGTATTGTTCGACAATAATAGTCACTCGCTCATAACTACTACTACTACTACTACTACTGCTGCTGCTTCTGTTGCTGATGTTGCTGTTTATATAGTGGAGATGAATCAATTGATTGGTGGAGTTTTCAATATCCACAAACTGACCAATCGGTTAACTGCTCATAGTAAATTTCTGACCAGTTGGATAAATGAAAACTTTACCATACTAAAGAGGATTAGGAAAAACGTATGACAATCTTTCGTATTTAATGAGGAATAATATATGACGACTGATAACTATGAAAGCTACACATGTAAAATACTTATAGGCTATCAATTTCACTATGTGATTCGATGAAATATAACATAATACACTCTTCAAATGGAACAATCAATTCCATATTTCCAACTATATTTCACTTGGAAGTCTTATTCCTTCTGTATGCATTTAATTAGTTCACGTTGACCAACGTAGCGAACAAGTCGTGTGCATGTATCTGTAGTAGTCTCTTACCAAGTGAAATTGAACATTATGCGACTGATAGGTCGAATTCATTTGACCTAATATTGATGGTATTTCTTCTACATGTAAGTATGCAGCTGAGTGAATAGAACCCTGATTTTCGTTGAAACTATCTGAACTAAATTATCAATGTGATTGAATTTAATGCATATGAAGCTAAGTCATCAGTTAGCTTCACAACATAACATATTGTTATTCTACTTGGATGTTGTGTAATACTCTATACTTTTTTCAGTAGGCAGTTTCATTTCTGAGAAATTCCATAAATATGACGAAAGATAGTGGGTTCGCTTACAGGGATGAGCATCGAATATAGTATGCATGTACACTCTGTGGACGAGTCCCATTTAGGACGAAACGTGCGTCCAGGATTCCACTGCTAGTTACTATTTACCTTTGATTATAATGCTTGTGAATTAATGTAGATATGCCAATAATACACTGATCAATTGCAGTACTAAACAACAATGGGAAAATTTCGAGAAACAATACCAAATCAATTTCATATATTGTTATTCTCCGTTTTCATTTGAACATTGTATATCAATCAAATGTTGACACATATATTATGGCCTGTTGTAATCAGTATGTATCTGACTGAAGAAGCACTGTTTACTGAATATACATGAACTTGTCTAAAGTTCTCTAAGGTTGCTGATACATCAGTCCAATTCGCTGACATGATAATGAGATTAAGCAGTTAACATGGTTTCTGTATTGTGTATAATTGCGCAAAGATTCTGTATGCAAATGATGTTCAATGAAACTCAGCACATTCCGTTGTCAGAATTCCCAACGTAAACAAGACATCATTCAACAAATTCAAAACGTATTACGCTTTAAATAAACATTCATAGTGCAACCTCTCTTCATGTATGTGTATTTCTAATTCGTAGGTACATACACAGATCACATTCATCAGTGTTCATAGTAAACTTTAAAATGTACTTTTACAAAACAAATAGTTTTATTTCGTAAACAACAAGCAAAACATGAAGTTCAACGATCAGATCATTACTCTGTTACTACCAGTGTTACCATTCTCTACCCAAACTACATGTGAATGTTTACATTATCATTCATTCAGCTATAATGAACATTTGCAAATGGAATAAACATGAGAAGGCAACAAGCAGGATAATAAAACTCATTCACCTTTTGTATATGATAACAAAACAATATTGTTTCACAACTTGACGAGGTGTTTTCCAATGAACATGTGGATGAGTATGGGAAAGAGAATGAGAATGAGTACGAGACTGATAAATAAACATTGAATGATAGTGTGAATAAGATAAATTGATGCGATAGAATGCCTGTGTGAAACAGAAATGTGATGGAAACAAATATCCAGTATACGAAATATTTGTTTATTTGTTGTGTGTGGGGGGTAGGTGGATATTGGTAAGTGTTTGCATAAGACCATCCATTAGACGACAAAAACAATAACAATCCTAATAATAATAATAATAATAATAATAATAATAATAATAATAATAATAATAATAATAATAATAAGAAGAAGAAGAAGAAGAAGAAGAAGAAGAAGAAGAAGAAGAAGAATAAACGGTAAAGTTCAAGTTGAAAACGATGATGGAAAATAGTTGACTTGCGAACAGGGCGGCCTGCTTGAGCATCTGGGCTACCTGTTCCTGTCATCTAAATATTTCAACAAATTATCTATTTTTGTTTGTTTTAATATATCATTATGTATATTAATCGCATAACCCATCCTAGTGCATTTCTGAAAAGTTTACAACCTTTCGTTGTCAAAGTTACAAAAAGCTCATTAAGAGATAATGTGGTCGCTGGCAATATGCAGAGAAAAGAATATACATTATTCAGATGTTTATTTACTGGACTGCTAACATCTAACTGGCTATCACTCAATATTTATCGTCAGGATCGACCAAAAGAAGAAAGAAACGGAAACTTGTTGAAATACTTTGTGCTGAGAATTCTATATAGTACCGAAAATATAATATTGAATAAAGCTTATAATAAATAATAAATAATAATAATAATAATAATAATTTAGATGGATTCATTATACAATCGTTTAATTCTTGTTGCGGCGTGAAAAAGAGAAGCTGATTGAGAATGAACATTGTCTTTGCTTGTTGAATCGATATTGTAAATCAGTTGATTTTATCAGTAGTGTTAAACGATTCTGTAACCAGTAACGTTGCATTGACAGTCTAAATGTTATCAGATAATCCCATAAGATCAAACGCAATGGAATACTGGTGTTTCGCACATATATGTACTCATCAGCTTAGACTAAGTTATGGAAAATACTGAATGACGAATTTGATGTCTACGAACATTTAGTGGAAATACGTCATTTTTGCATTGTGTACCAGATTCATGACTAAATATTTTGAAACCTGGAGGACAGAGCAGATGATTGCAGCGTGATTCTGTTGATGATGAACTTGAAATATATGACAATTTACTACAAGGAAAGCTTTCCGAATTCAAGACGAAAAAATTCTCCGTTATTAGACACACTCATGAGTGATTACGCTCTAGATGGACGTTCTGAATTCAATCTGTTCTTATGTTGGTGAGTGTTTAATTAGTAAATGATTGTTGAGAACACTTCTACTGTCACACATATACAAGTTCATTGTCTTCATTTCTAATTTGAAATCCACATGGAGATCAGAACATTTGAAGATTCAAGAAGTATATTTTGCTGACGAGTTTAGTTATGAGTCGTGTATATGTTGAGGGTTTTAAGGTGAATTTCCCTACATGAAGTATGAAGAGGACATAAGAATTATTATGAAGTTAACTGAAATGTGGTTTATGAGTGTATCACGATACTGTTGAATATTGAAATGTGGTTGTGAGTTAGATGTGTGATCGGAGTCAACTGGGTGCTCGAAGATAAGACTTGTAAAATTTTGTGTTTCATACTAGTGGAAACAATCTGAAATGAGTTATCGTTTGACTGATGGAAGCGAATCGTTTCTACAACCGAAGCTTATTTCAACATCATACGATTTTTCAACCATCATTGTTTCATCCAACGTTTTACTTTTACGATATGATAGGTGTGAATTGAACACAAACAAATAAAGTTGTTTCATTCCATTTGATGCAATTACCCAAACAACAGATAGGTCATTCATTCAGTTATTCTATCACTATGAGATTATAACAACGAATGATAGACTGTGAATTCACCATCTGTTAAAACAATCATTACATCAATCGCCAGTCTACTGAGTCACGATAGTTATGAATTAATTCTTCGTTGTATTTATCGATTTCAGGTTACTTCAGTTGACTTCATATGAGAATTTGAAATCTGTCAGAAGACATAAGAAAGGGGAATGATCTGTGGTCAGTTTCATTCCGTTCTCTCATCTTACACTTATTTGCTGCACCAAACATTCTCAGATGGTCGAATACAATGAATCGATTTAACTGAAGCACTTGGTTATTTCTAGTCGAACTCAAATCTCATTAGGGTTTTGACAATAACTAAAGTACTATTTAAAATGCCACATATTTGATTAACAGGATACACTATACAAACGCATATTAATACAGAGAATAAAGTGAACATCCTAACTGTTCATGAAGAGCTTCATAATACATGCATTGATTTCAAGCACCTTGCCACATGATCCATACCATTGGATGACACTGAAGTTAGTTTCTTCTAAATTCGAGTTTATTCAGATGATTATATCCAAATACATCTTGTTATTCACGCTACTTAAAACTCAGCTGACTTCACTCACATGTGAATAAGATAAGATGAAGTAATGTGAGTAGTTCATTTACTCAATTGTGATGTACAGATATGACCTGTAGGATTGTAAACCAGTTACTTAACAGTTATTGACACACGTTTATGAATGGATGGTGTAATTAAAAATATTGGTAGATGTGGATGTGCATGGAATAAATGAAACCGACTTCCTGCTTTACTCAAATGTTAATTGATATTGGAAGTGGAAATTCAAAACAACAGTTATGCTTACATTTATGGAAATTCATAACGCATACTGGTTCACCTCAAATATTTAACTAGGGGCAACCAGAACAACACATGGAACGAATCCATAAAGTCAGTGACAAGCGGATTGAGCCATGTTGTTAGGTGTAGACTACGTGGTTAGGATACATGAGACGATAGCAATCGATGGTTAGGAACCTTGAACGACATGGCTCGACATTGTTTGCAATGGCGCAGGTGCATCCACTCTTTGTGTTCTCCGTAATTCTTGTCTTCTAAATTCTTCATGTCTCTTTATTTTTGCTTTCCAAATATATTTCTCTGGATTATACTCCTTTAATAACATGTTCAAACCCTAATGTTTCCGATTACTGCTTATAATTTACTACCACGACCACTATGTGATTAGAATCGACAACTGTATATATGTGCTAATTCGGTATGGCAACTCAATCTGATGTACGTACATACGAAGTACTGTGTTGTTGCTAACTGACTGAAGAATGATTTACCAAATTTGAGAACACATGTGAATGTCTAAGGAGATATGGTGATGGATAAAATATCATTCGTTAGATTTAATGACTGAAAGTCTGAATGCATTACAAACTTCATTACAAACAATATAACTAGAGAGTTATCATTCAATCAACTTCATACTATATTCGTGCATAATTTCAAAGATTGATTGAGTGTAGTACGGTAAAGTTTGCATTAATCCAACTGGTCAGAAATTTACTATGAGCAGTTAACCAATTGGTCAGTTTGTGGATATTGAAAATTCCACCAATCAATTGATTCATCTCCACTATATAAACAGCAACATCAGCAACAGAAGCAGCAGCAGTAGTAGTAGTAGTAGTAGTAGTAGTTATGAGCGAGTGACTATTATTGTCGAACAATACTGCATTTCATATGCCTATCATGTTACATCAAATGATTGAACATTCGTTCATTATCACTGCATACATTTCAGTTTGTCTTCTCGATTGCTTTAATACACAATCAAATGTGGCACATAACTTTACATTGTTATCCTTATGTGAGGAGTGTCCGGAATGTAATACAAATATGCATTGTAACTACTCACAATGGATATGCATATTGGGACTACCAAAGCTATCGCTGGCAGAAGACTACTGGTTGGAAACGGTTGAAACGAAATCAGACTGCTTAAATGAATGCCGATATTATCCTCAGTGTAATCTCTATACATATGAAATTGTAAGTTTCAGATGCGTTTTACATTCTAATTAAACATGTAAATATGAGAGAGAATTATAGTATTAGCATTAGTCCAAATTTGCATAGTGGTGGACCTAAATTCAAGGACATTCATTCATATAACATCAATAATGATGTATTGCCATCCTCAATCAATATGTATGCACAATAAAGTCTTACTAAACTCTCAGTAATACCATTCATTTCGAATATAGATGTAAACCATCTTTCTGTGTGAATTCACCTTCATTTTCAGAAGAAATATCATCTAGTTTATATCTCTGATCATCTCATATTTAGACTGGATGGTTGACAATTGATAAAGTTAAGTGACAGAATTGAATGAAGCTGTAGTTGGTGATCGACTGATACACGTGGTCATCTGTTTATATTAATGATTCGTATTTTCGTTTTGTATCCAACATAATTCACCTTGTGGTGAAATAAGATGAAGCAGTTTTCTGACACCACTCACCTACTCAGCTCATATCTCATTTCTAACTCACCAACATTTCCAAGAATCATTCAACACTCAGTCGACTTGTTAATTGTAAAAGACAAGAAACCATTTTAGTTCGAAATCACTGAGCATTTCAGCTAAATATTCATTATGGAATTTGCAGTAGTAGTGACTCAAATGTTACATTTCAACTAATAGATTCGTCAATTTAAGACTTATTTTGACTTTTGAATTTCTTCCTATTTACAGAACGAACCGAGATGGTGCGATCTATATTCTGGGTTCATTGCAAATATTACCATTAATGTCAATTCAACTAACTTTATAACTGGAGGGAGAGTGTGCTGTCATAAATCCAAATCTTGTTTAGAATAATAATAATACAACCAGTAGAAAATTGTTTACATTTTGAATGAGGACGTTTACTATTTACTCTCAAAACTGCAATGGTACATGTCATCTGGAAATATGCAGTACCCATGACGAAGTGCTTTACGTGGATTGGGAGAATTGATCCATCTTTACTGATAAATACATTATTGAATGAAAAAAAGTGTTTAATTACGCAAATGAGATACACGTGGAAGGGAAGTTCACAAAATAGCGATTGGTGTGAGGGTTAGTTTTTTATATTGCGTGTAGTTTCGTTAAACTTACAGCCTGATAACTGGTATTACGGAACTCAACAAAACTGAATTGATAATGCGATAGGATGCTGCGACTACAACTTATCAGGTGACTGTGCGGACCACAGAATTACAACCACATCAGGCAGATTCGATGCGAAAGAGGCTAAAGAATCATTGCGAGCGAATATGGAGGCAACTTTATAGTAATACCAAATAAAATAACAGCGAATCAAAGCCAACTTTCATTTTATAATAGAATCACATATATATGAGAGAAGGAGAACAATACATCGAGCTAGATTTACGAGATCATGATTTGAGTGAGAGAGCGATATACGTAGGCGGCGCCAAGCGTTCAAATATACACGTTTAAGTATTTATGATAACGATTCTTACAATACAAATAAATGAACGAATTGTTAATGTGTCGATAACATTGTTTGTCGGAAAAAAGGGATTGACAGGGATTAACCGTTATCCAAATTAATCATGAGAATGTTACAACAGATTTTATTGAATGATATATATGAATTGGTTATAAACCTTAACTTATGAGATATCTATGTTTCTTTGTGCGTCTGTAAGTTTTAAAGAAATAGGGCTTTCTCTAATAATAACTTAAAGAATAACTGTGACATACGATATTGTGTATGAGGGCTGATAGCTGTGTCTAATCCTGAAAAACGTTTATCAACAAGTAAATACGGGATCAATAGCAAGTAAATATGGGAGCCGTTGCTTTTATAAAAAGACCAAACGGCTGCACAACAACCAAGAACAACTGCGACAGGGAATGAAAGAGAGTAATTATGATGATAAATAAAATGAATGCGCCACAGCATACCACCTGAAATTCCTACCAATTCAACTGTCTACTGAATATTTTCAAAGTAGTGAAAGTGTGAAACACTAAATAAAAGTGTTTAGGTGAAGAGAAATGATTTACACCACGTAATCAAATTCCAATATACACTGTGTGTGTGTAAATTATCAATAGGAATATCAGTAATTAGGAGAACTCGGTAGATGAAGGTTAGATGTGGAGACATCAATCAAGAAACTTCTCGTAACACCATGGATCAGAGTGTTCATTCCGTAAATGACAGCAGATGATTGTTTTTGAAGAAAAGAAACATCCAAATAGCTGTTCCGGGATTTCACACTTTGAATTGAAGAAGTTACCAGTCTCAAGCCATTCCGAAATCCATTATCATAATAATTCCGATTATTTGTTTTGAAGAAATTAAATGCTCTCCATTCATCACCTGAGATATCATGCACTGAATCGTTCTATCTTTGTATTGCCTACTTTCATTAGTAACAATTCGTACAACCATGTTTGATTAAACTAAGTTCATTAACATATGAATTTTTCAATTAAGACAGGTCTTCAATAAAGTATAACTATCTAGTCATATGCATAGTGATATATTTGAATGTAGGGAGAGCACAAATATTTTGTAATATGGTGTGAAAGAACGACCAGAAATTTATAGACCCCACACTTAAACTACAGAATAGTGTCACAAACAGTAATTTTTGCGATCAACTAAAAATTCTACCGTGTTACAATTATGTTGCTACGGTAACTATTCCGAATTTAAGATGAGAATTGATTTGAAGATCTTAAAGTTTATTTATACAAATTAAAATAGCATTTATTAACAACGAAACAATTAGTGAACCGGATAGAAGACTAAAACAGAGCTTTCGGAAATATACAGATTCATGTTGAAAAGTATCCTAATCAATGAATAAATAAATACATGTTCATGTAACAACCAACCTCATTTCATTTTCAGTGAAAATGTTCGTTAAACGAATAAACAATAATCATAATACGAATGAGTACATTTTTGAAAACTTGATTGAAGCTAAGTCGATTCTAGTTTATTTTCCGAATGAATATTTTGACAGATCACTTTGCATTGACTTACTTACTTACCCCTCATCGAAGAGCATAGGCCGACCACCAGAATTTTCCATCCAATTCTATCCTCTTTCATCTTTTACAGTTTCTTCCAGTTGCTGTTCATGCTATACATATCTGCTTCCAGTTCTCGACGTAGCGTATTCTTTAGCCTTCCTCATTTCCGTTTTCTTTCAGGATTCCAAGTTCGCACTTGCCTCGTGATGCAAATTAGTGATTTCCGTAATGTATATCCACTTTACTTCCAACATTGTTTCCTAATTTCCTCCTTAAATGAAAGCTGGTTTGTCCTGTCCCACAGTAGGCTGTTACTGATGGTATCTGATCAGCAGACATTGAGTATATTGCATATACAACTGTTTATAAATACTTATACATTTTTGATGATAGTTAAATTAGTTCTCCAAGCTTCAGCTTCATACAGTAAAACTTTGATATTGGTTGACAGTTGTTTTGTTCTTCAAATATAAGAATGCTGCACTTGCTTCGCCAGCCGGATATCTGTCGGCGATCCAATGTTACTAGAAACGGAAGCCTCTTAAGCGAAAGCGGTACAAGGTATCGCAAAGTCCTTGATAATTCATTATTCAGCTGCTGCTACAATAGATGTTCCATAATTTCAGTTTTTGGTTGACGATATTCTTGTAAAGATAACCAATAACAGAAATAAGTACTATTATAAAGCGATTTAGAGAACTCATTGAAATGAATGATTTTAAATTAAGATACTTAATCTCAGGTGACCAGATTGTCCGAGAACGTATGTGAAAATCTTTGAAAATCAACGAAGGTGCGTCTAGCTTACATTCTGACGCTCACATGTTGGTGGCCAGAGATAAATGCAGAAACAATTGAGGGGAACATCACGAGTTGAAAAGTCTACCTTTGATGTGAACTCCATGGCTAGTATAGTCTCAGGCCTGGCAGAGGGTTCATGCAGACTATTGGCAAATACTATGCACTTGTAGTCACTGATTCTTTTTCAAAGTGGGATTCTGATGGTGTTAGTGACAGATGATGGCTCTTATTTTGCTGCGGATGCAGTCACTGCACGGTTCAATAGCATAAGGTATAGAAATCTGTCCAATGTACCCTTGTTCTAATGGTCAAGCAGAAAATTTTGTCAGGACATTGAAAACTACTATTGATTCTATTGCTGCTTCAACACTTAATGAACTGGAGAGAGCAGTAGATACGTTTCTACTGCAATATAGAAATGCTAAACATTCTGTAACGAAAGAGACGCCATCGAAGCTATTAAAAAGAAGAATTTTCCGTTCGAATATGAGATGTTTGGAGTCTGCCAAAGTTACATATTATCATGGGAATGATCTCCGACCAATCACGGGAATCGTGGCGAGGAGTGTCGAAAAATCTATGGTGAGAATTCTAGATATCAATGACTTAAGTATACACAACCGACATGTTAGTCAAATACAATTACGGGAACTAGGTGAGTCTGTTCCAATTTCGGTTGTTAATTCTAATACTAATCAATACATTCTAGATGATACAGGGTCTATATCCAATACGCAGAATGGACTTGAGCAGAAAACGTACAATCAACTACAGAAACTTGGATTCCAATTTAAGCTGTGACGCATGTAGTGCTTGTATGAAGTAATGATTCCTTTGTACTCGATGAATATTTGATTTCGAATTTCAAATACAGTACATTCGTTCGTGCTCATATACTTAGTTAATTTGCATTATTTCTGGGATTCCTAATTTGTATAATAATTCAAATACTCCTGATAATCACAAATAGACACAGATTTGGTGTGACGGGTAAAAGAAATCTTAAACAAATGTATCGGCTAACCATTTGCTGGATGTTCATGGTTAGTTAACTTCATACTTTCCGTGAATCACGTCATATTGAAGTATTTTTAGCTTATTGTGAGATGAAATAGGAACTGTCTACATCATAAATCCAACTTAAGAGGTATGTCGAAAAATTCTATGCAAGTGTTATTAGTTAATATCGAAATGGCAAAAAAAACACTTGAAGTTTGTTCTATACAATCATCAATCCCTAATTCGAACTCTTTAATGAAAATAAAAAATATCATCTGTATATCTCTTCCACGGTTGGGACCACTAGTAAGAAAACAGCAGCTATCAGTCTCTGCATTAGATCATCCCACTTATGAAGTATATATAACTGTATTTAACGAATAATGACTAAAGGCTATTATGTATCTACTGAAATTTAAGTAAGTAGTATGTAGTTTTAACTTTGTAGCCTTACTTACTTACTTACGCCTGTTACTCCTCGCTAAGGAGCATAGGCCGCACACCAGCATTCTCCATCCAACCCTGTTCTGGGCAAATCTTTCCAGCTCCTTCCAGTTGCAATTCATCCTTTTCATATCTGCTTCTATTTCTCGACGTAATGTGTTCTTTGACCTTCCTCTTTTCCGTTTCCCTCCAGGGTTCCAAGTTAGAGCTTGCTTCGTGATGCAGTTTGACGATTTGCGTAATGTATGTCCTATCCATTTCCATCGTCTTTCCCTAATTTCTTCTTCAGCTGGAAGCTGGTCTGTTCTCTCCCAGAGAAGGCTGTTGCTGATGGTATCCGGCCAATGGATGTTGAGTATCATACGAAGACAACCATTTATAAATACTTGTACCTACTCCGCCTGTAGCTCTTCCAGAGTTACTGCCTGTTTCAAGCCCGGGTAAAGGAGGAGGGTTGGGCATGAGATTATCGACCCCATCCCGTAGAAAACTAACTCACTGAAAAAACGCTAACCAGAAAAAAATAATGCAAACTTTGTAGCCTATTAGTTGAAAAGTATATGGTTTAAACTTTTGATCTTCACACTACATTGTTTTCCATATTTTGCTAAATAACAAAATAAAACCTTTTGGACGTTCCAGTGAAAAAATATGTTTGTATACATTGACAATAACATAAGCTATACAGCCATATTTACAGTTTATT